CTAGTGAAAAAATGGCATCATTTATAAAAAAAAGTGGTCTAAGTTACCCCATTTTATGGTATTTAATTTTACGATAGTGGTTTCTTCCCATGGCATGTGTATGAGCATTCTCTCAACTAGGTAGCATATCATAATTAAATCACAAGCTAGAACTCGCTAAAGCCTTCAGCACATGTTTAGATCATTGCATTTCTTCTCAACTACAGCTGTGTTCTCAAGTTATATGGCTGATCATTATATATATAGACTCGTGACCTGTCATCCAAGACGACCACAAATTATATCCAAACTTTAGATATGATTCCAATGAAAAATTGCACTCAAATCTTTTTCTCATGTCTATGTAGTACATTTTTTGTGCATAATAATCTTGTTCACTAATTATAGGGCCATTATAGGTTTTAACCATTTATATTCAGAAGTGTCTTGGTGATGTGAATTTAACCTCAACATCCATGATAATGGAATCTTTGGCTTGCACAGTTCATTTAATTGAGTAAAAACCATTTGCCATTGAGCTGCCCATCCAAGCCTGTAACTCGCGGAAAAAATAAATCTTCATGTCATTTATAAGCCATTTATTAGCAAAAGAAAATTGTATAAACAAATTTCCCATTGATTCATACCGTCAACCAGGGCTACTCAGGACGGGTGGGGTAACTCAGGACAGTCCTCTGACACGGCGTACAACTGTTTTAGTAGCAAAACTAATTGGAATATTGCAAAACTAAATATAGTGGCGTAAACATCAACATTTTTCCTATCTATGTAGTATAAAGGAAGTTTCAAAATACTACATTTACTAGCTTTGAAAAATTCCTGAAAAAAATGGTGAAAAACGATATTTTGAAGTTATTTCTGCTAAGGTCTGTAGTAAAAAAAATATTTGCCATGTTAAAAAATTTTGCTCGTAAAAAAGTGGCAGACAAGTGTCAGCATGAAAACTTTATTTGCGGAATTTGCATACCTCAATAAAAAAAATGGCGGCCATTACCGCACAACGGGGCTACTCGGGACACCCCCAAAAATGCATTTACAGTAGAACCTCAGTTAGCAAAGGCCCCAGTTAAGAAATAAATTGATTAAAAACAAAGAATATTGATTACATTTACCTCGCTCAGCAAAAAAATTTCACGTATCGAAAAATTAGTGCAACATTATTGGTCATCACAAAATTGTGCATAGAATGTCATATATAGAATTGTGCACCAGGCATCATAGAATGAAAAGTAATTGACCTAAACTATGATTTATTTCTCCAAAACATATGATGTTGTCGCTGAAATATTCCTTACTGTTTCAGGTATGTTTTTCATGATCTTTTTTTATAATAAATTCACTTAACCCAATTAAAATGGTGTGAAATTACAAGCCGTCCTGTAAGCTTACAGATACAGCAAAAATGCTATAAGGCTGCTGCTATGAAGCTTGCAGAGGACAAGGTTGTTGTAAATGCTTAATGGCATGTTCATGGATACGGTAGTATCGCATCAATAATATGGGAATTAATGTATATGGTAATATATCATATCAATAAAGGAAAAACAAGTGAAAGTCACAGAAAATGTCATTTATTCTACCTCTACATCATCTACAATGAAAGAGCAGGACTTCAGAGTACTGTTAGTAATGGATGAGTAAGCTTTGCATGCTTCAAACATTTTAAAATGAAGTTTTATTCCAAGTGTCCCGAGTAGCCCCATTTGACAGGGCGACTCAGGACACTTTTTTTGCTTCTGGCACCTTACGAATAGCTTATGGAATTTTTTTGGAGAAGCCATGTGATAGCCCTTGCAAAGAGCTTTGAAATGAGCCTAAACTTGTTAATGAAATGTTTCATGGTAAGAAGTTATGAATGAAAAACGTTCGAAATCATCGGTATTGACGATATTAACGTTTGACGGTATTAAAATAATTCTTAAATATTATTGAAGGCCTAGTTGATGGTATTAAAGCGTGTGATCTGACTTGCAACATAATGATACTTGTATAAATTTGTCCAGTGAGTTGAATATCATCGATGGAATACGGTATGTGCGTGTTACAAACCTCTCGGACAAATTTGAGACTGTAAATGCTGCCGGTCTCACTGTAAATATCTAAATTCAGCGAGCAATTAATATCTCCCAAAGTAATGACCATAGCTCAATGAAACTTGTACACGTATTCATTAGGACCTAACAGTGCTGTTTAGCACGGGAAATTTTTTTAAATTTAAGCTTCATTCATGAGTAATATTACAATACATGCTGAAATTTGCAGTGAACAAAACATTTTTAGCGCATTTTCTCCTTTATGGAAAAAATGCCCTATTGTGCTCATCATATCCGTCTGTCTGTCCGTGACTTTACGTTTTTGTCAACGAGAAAATGCATGCTGTCACTCATTGCAGTGAGTACTACTGAGTTATATTATTTCTATAACCACTGTAGGTACAGATTTGAACAAAACTTTTAATATCCAAACCAATATGCAACTTATTCATCAGGGCCTAACGATAATGTTAAGCGTGTAAAAAAAATTTCCATTCCACCTTCATTTCTGAGTTATAAAGCAATTGGGGCTGAAATGTGCACTGACCAAGAAATTAATTCTGAACTACTGAACTGATTTGGACGAAACTTTCAATATACATTCCTAACCTTTCAACGGTTACCGGCAACCGGGGCTTCTCGGGACGATTTCGAAAGTTTTTCATTCATAACTTCTTACCATGAAACATTTTCTTAACAAGTTTAGGCTCATTTCAAAGCTCTTTGCAAGGGCTATCACATGGCTTATGCAAAAAAATTCCATATGCTATTTGTAAGGTGCCAGAAGCAAAAAAAGAGTGTCCCGAGTAGCCCCATCAAACGGGGCTACTCGGGATACTCAGAATAAAACTTAATTTTAAAATGTTTGATGCATGCAGAGTGTACGTACTCATCCATTACTAACAGTACTCTGAAGTCCTCTTTCATTGTAGATGATGTAGAGGTAGAATAAATGACATTTTCTGTTATTTTTACTTGTTCAATGCGGAGAACTCGAGCAAATTTCGCGGGCGTAAGCCCGCGAAATGTGAATTAAAAACTTGGTCTTAGTCCTCGCCATCGCGTAGAAGGCGAGGATTTTCTTTCGCTTTAGTCAGGTAAAACCCCAGGGGGGCACTTTTTTTCAGAACTCGTGATTTCCTATATAGGCGGATCCTGACATCCTGGCCAGAAACTTTTCCCTGAAATCCGGCGCTTTTTTTCAAAAATCAAATCTTTTGAACCAACAGTCCGATTTTCATGAAATTTGCACAGTCCCTTTTTACCCCGTTTGACGGTACTTTAGTTTATATACGGTATGTAATAACAATGACCCTAAGCGCACACCTAGGGCAACTGACCTCAATCCGATTGAAAATCTGTGTTGGGAATTGAAATTGAGGTGAGGGTACAGGAGAGAGATCCAATAAATCTTATGTAGGTAATTGAAAGAAATCTGCAAGGAAGAGTGGGCTAAAATTCCTATTAGCATATGTGTTAATCGTGTAAACAAGTATTATAATTGGTTAGAATCAGGTTTGGCTACTAAAGGTTGCATGACAAAGCATTGTGTAAATTTGTTTACTATGTGTTAGATACTTTTTGAACCTTAACTTTTACAAAAAATGCAACATTACAACAGTACCGTAAAATGGGGTTACTTTGACCGGTGGGGTAACTTTGACCACTTTTTGTTTTTTTAACAAAAACCCCCAAAATTCAAAAACGATTTGACATAGAAAAATTTTGTCGATGGCCATCAAAGGCCTAATACTGAGGCTACGTAACACGATAGAAAGATTTAAAAAATTTGCATATCTAATAGGTTTAAAAATTAAAATGTGACCCACAAAAAAAGAGCTATTATTTAAAGCGTGTCGGAGTACCCCCTCCAATTTTTTTATTTTTTTGGTAAAATAACTCCAGGTTTTGATGCATTGTAGTAGAACTCTTCTAGTTACATATGCAAAAGACAAATTTTAGAAAGTGTCATAGTTTGCAAATGGGGGCGCCACCCCCCAATGGGGGAACTTTGACCACCTGATGGCAGCCGTGATGGGGTAACATTGACCGGCTTGGAAATTAAGTTAAAATTACCATAGGTACCACCTATATAACATATTTTATGTTTGACAGCCTATTTATGTTTTTTCTTTATGTTTCAGACTCTACGGAGTCTTATATATGGTAATTTGAACTTAATTTCCAAACCGGTCAATGTTACCCCATCACAGCTGCCATTAGGTGGTCACATTTCGCCCATTGGGCGGCGGCGCCCCCCATTTGCAAACTACGACACTTTCCTAAAATCTGTCTTTTGCATATGTAACTAGAAGAGTTCTACTACAATGCACCACAACCTGGAGTTATTTGGAGTTATTTTACCAAAAAATAAAATTGATTTTACCACCCGGTCAAAGAAACCCCAAGAGCTGGGGTAACAAAGACCATCACTTATTTTGAAATTACATCAAAACTATGAGAGGCAGGAGCCAGCAATTTATGGTAAGTAAAGCAAGAGTATAGACCTTTATTTTGCATGTTTCAATTTAAGTTTAACTTACCTATTGAAAAAATTGCATTGTTTCGAAATAAAAAAGCGGTCTAAGTTACCCCATTTTACGGTAACAACATAACATACAAGTCAACATTTAATGATATTGTTGTTTTGATATGAAATATATATTTCCCTTGTAAATTTACTTTAGAATAGGGTTTGGTTTATGTTAAAAATTAGCTTTAATTAAATTAAGTTTATCCATTGTGTTGGATACTTTTTGCTCCCACTGTTGCATGAGAGACTTGAGATCCACTGTGTAGAAAGTGAGCTGGCTCATGTTCATTTTTATCTCTAGCTGAATTTTTTAATAAGGAAAATATTTATGAAGTTTAAATGTACCTATATGTACTATATAAGTTTGTATGTTCTTTTATGTATACAGAATAATATTTTGTTGGCCAAACTATAAATACTTGAACTTCTTTTACAGATGCTTAATTATGACAGCATTAGAGAATAGTGTTAAAGAAAACACAAGTTCAGTAGGCAAAGGAAACATAACTTCCATGCCTGGATCACATCGAGGAACTGGTAGTGGTCGGCTATCGCTGAGAGGGCAGAAAAGAACTCTATCATCTGATATATCTCCTGCTCCTGAGCTCAGAGCAAGCCACAGAATTAGAACCAATAGTTCTGGAGATGGTGATTCTCATAAGGTTGGTTCCATTCATTTCAAATTGATTATGAACTGATTAAAATTGTGTATTTTGTACATCTTATTTCACATTCATACTCTTATCAGAGACTACTTTGTACATACATTTGTTTCAATTCATGTGATGTAGTTGGCTTCAACTCAATGGTTTTCAAACCATGGAACCCTTATTCTATGGTTTTCAAACCATGGGTTAGCTTTAAAACCCCAAAAAAACCTTATTCTATGGTTTAAACTTTTTTGATCAATAAACTGTTACTTGATACTTACCTATTCCATATGAACAAATGTAGTAACTTGACTGTTTTCTCAGGGTGTGCGTGGCAGCAGCAAGGGTGCCAATGCAGCTTTGAGTGGCAGTGGTGGCATTATTGGCATTCCTTATTCTCATCGCGCTGTACAATTAGGGCTTCGCCGTAATCCATCCTCAACACTCTCCTATACAACAAATTCCATTCATTTATCAAGTGGAGGAGAATCTGTGGGTAGTCCAGGGCTTGCTGGTGGTCGAGTGGCTGGTGTATGTCCTCTTGCAAATCTTGGCAACACCTGCTTCCTCAACTCGGTTCTCTATGCCCTCAGATTTTTGCCAGGCTTTACTCATGACTTACATCATCTACACACACATTTGCAAGCTGCAAGGTATGAACTCTATTTTGTACGTTACTTTAATTCTCTTTCAGACTGCAACTTCACCTTTGAGCGGAAGATCTTTGCAGCAGTTAAACAGATGATAGAAATGAAAATATGTGAATACAGGGAATAGGATAATATTAGAATTTATTTAAGTAGACATGAACCAGCAAAATTATATTGATCATGTTCCACATTTATAAAGTATCACATGCAAGTTTTTGTCTATGAGATTTGAGCAGAACCTTATACGAGATGTTATGGATTATTATTTGTAGTAAAACAATATTTTTATGATGAATCTATAGGTACCAAAACACTTGATAAGTCACCCTGAGCTTTTGTTTTAAATCTGGTGGTTCACAATAATCTCAAATTTCTTATGACAATTTGTAGTATGATTACAACACTTAGTGAATTCTATGTTTTTCTCATAAATAAATTTTATCTCTAGCTGTGTTTCTGTTGCTGATATCCTAGTGATAAGTTTGGTTTTTCTCATATTAATTTGCATTTCTAGCTGTGTTTCTGTTGCTGATATCCTAGTGATAAGTTTGGTTTTTCTCATATTAATTTTTATCTCTAGCTGTGTTTCTGTTGCTGATATCATAGGGATAAGTTTTGTTTTTCTCATAATAATTTTTATTTCTAGCTGTGTTTCTGTTGATGATATCCTAATGATAAATTTGATCCACCAGAGGTGAAGGTGACGAGTCAGTACAACACCGAGTGCAGTTCTTGTCTGAACTGCACTCGGTGTTTGCCCAGCTGGCAAAAGAAGAGAGCAATGTCACTGAGGGCAAGAGACTTCCTGCTCTACAACCCTACCCATTCCTACAGGCTCTTAGGTATTGCTTCTAAAGATTAAGTCTTTAATTTTTGCACTATTTTTCTCCGTTTCCTCCATCATAATTCTTATTGGTTATTTAATGTGCCACCAATTTCCAGTTTGTGTGTTTGTGGCAATTACAAGCCCTGGTTTGTGGAAGAGCTCTGAAGCGGTCAATTTACTGTTTATTTAATTGATTGTAATCAGATATTTATGGAACAATGTGGGGACTCTGATTTCCATCTGTTGAACCTATCTAAAAATAGTTGATTGTTTTCTGTCATAGATTGCCTTAGTAAGTTTATTGCTATGTTGCAGAGTTGTGAACCCGATGTTTGAAGGAAACCGTCAGCAGGATGCACACGAGTTACTGCACTGTTTATTAGACCAGCTCTGTCATTTACCACAAGATCTTGTCAAGCGGGATGCTGTTGTCAAGAACCTCTCCAACAACGCTTCCTTACTGTCGCCACGCCCTTCCTCTCCTCCTCACAAGAAGGCCAGGCGACGTTCTGAGCGAATACAAGCTCTTGAAGAAGACAACAGCAAGGTTAGAAAAGTCGTCTTTTGCCTCGTAGCTTAACGCATAGTGAAATGCAGTAGGGATAATGTATGAACAAGTTAACTTCAGAGTGGCAGATAGGACGTCTTTGTTGGCCTTCCCTATTGTGTCCTATAAGTAAACCTGTAAGTATCCTTAACGCCAGCATCAACGCACTTAAGATATTAAACAAAATCTTCAAGTGGACCAGAAAATTATGAATGAACTCATTTCTAAAGTCTCTCACCTCCATAGTGAATTTTGGCGATATATACGTACCTATTGGAAATTTGTACCATTGCTTATAGTAGAATTATAGAACGAATTTTTTCTCGTCTACAAACCTTTTGTCAGCGTTACTGCTGATGTCACTGTGAATAATGGCAGAAATATTGTATGGCAGGCTGTGGACGTTGTGGGCAGCAAGTTCGTTGGACGGATGTGCCTGGAGACTTGCTGCTCTGAGTGCGAGAAAGTCACGGGCAGGGAAGAGACTTTCCTTGAAGTTTGTGTTCCTGTTAAAACTAAAGCCGACTTTGATGGTGAGTAATAACTATCATTAAATGCGACAGAAATTTATATATGTGTCAAAAAGCAGAACGCCTACGCGTTCATTTTGTTTGTGAACGTGTCCTTAACTGTTTGGGTAACTTTGCCATGCGATTTAGTAATACATTCCACTGCTGTGAATAGCTGTCCGTTGGGTGTAAATTATTTTGTATAACTTTGCCACAGATGATGAGCCGTCAAGTGGTACAAATATTCAATCGTGGTATTCAATCACAAATATTCAATTATGGTATTCAATCTAACGTTATCTCAGATGACGAACCGCCAAGCGAATGTGAAGTATTCATGTCGGCGCTGTGCGAGGAAGAATGTTTACAAGGCAACAACAAGTATTGGTGCGATGCTTGCAGCCACCACAATGAGGCGCGCCGCAGTGTGCACTACCCGCAACTACCTCATCATCTTCTCATACACGTCAAGCGCTTCTCTTCATACAGCAGGTATACTAACTAGTACAAGAAGTTCCTTCTTCTCATACACGTCAAGCGCTTCTCTTCATACAGCAGGTATACCAACTCGTACAAGAAGTTCCTTCTTCTCATACACGTCAAGCGCTTCTCTTCATACAGCAGGTATACCAACTCGTACAAGAAGTTTCTTCTTCTCATACACGTCAAGCGCTTCTCTTCATACAACAGGTATACTAACTCCTACAAAAAGTTCCTTCTTTTCTATACTTGTCTACCAATTCTCTTCATACAGCAGGTATACTAACTCGTCAAACTAATTCCTTCATCTCTGCTGGTTTCTCCCCAGCTCTCGTCTTCAAAATTCAAATTAGTCAAAATTTTTTCACCTCATCATATCCTGAACTATTCTTCATGGCATACTATTTTTAGTCGTGATCTTTTGGTTTGCTCTGATATTCAAGCATAATTTTGTTGCTTATCCTCATTTCTAACTATTACCCGTATTATTATTATTCAATATTGTTGTTAATAACTAAGCGGTCTAATCCTACTGATTTTGAAGAACTTGCCACCCACTCAGCTGTTCACCAAGTATTTGGTAATGTCAATTCTCCGAGAGTGCTTGCGAGGAGGATGGAAGGAAAGGAGTCTGAATATTTCTTGTTTAAACTTAGAAATATTTTTCTTTTACGAGCATGCCAGCTTTTCGACGTAGTTAATGTGTGGATGGATAGCAGAAATATAAATCTTGTATAATCTCGGCAATTTAAAGCACAACTCATTTATTGGGCAGAAACATGTACACCTCTAAGTGCAGCGACGCGATGCCGGCGCCTCTGCATCTCGCCTGCTTCTGCCGCACTTGTCTGGAGACGCAATTGCATCAACAGATCAATTCTTCCTACCATTCCATTGTTAATTCAAGCACTGAGATGAACGCTAATAATTCCGGAACAAAGAGTAAAGTTTCGTCATCTATTAGATCTTCAGCCGGTAACAAACAAGCTAAAGATGCCACGACTCACCTTCCTTATGAACTTTCTGCTATGGTGTGTCATCTTGGAGCCTCTCTGTCCTCAGGTGTGCTTAGAAAAAAGGCTTTTAAAATTCTCGCCTTTCTATCTTTTTGTACTGATTACTTTAAGTTCCTATGTGAAATTTGCAAGCTATATATAATTGGAACGTAAGCGTAAAATGGTTATAGGTAGTAAATACGTCAGCTTAGATTTTTATTATTGCTATTCACGGTTCTAGTTTATGTATCTTAGAGGTTAATCTTTATTTTTTGTATGATGTGCTTATTTGTCACTGAAGTATAAAATTATTTTCTCCAGCTTATTAATAGTAATATGTACAAAGATGTTACTCTCAAAAAATTATTGTCCCTTAGTAAATGCGCCTTGTTGATTTTCAAATCAAGCTACTCAAAATAAATAATTAATTAAAACAGGAGAGATTGTGGTGTTGAGGCGATTATGCACAGTTATGGTTGATGCCAGCCTCTCTTGTATACCTAGATCAGATCACGTGTCATGTGCTTGGTGTCAGCTTATATTCTCTCCCAATTTTCCGATATTTTTTGCTACTTGGAAACTCGAAAGCCTTACCTCTACCGAGTTTGAGGTCTTCCACTGTTCTCGGTGTATTTTTTCTCTCAAGTTCTTAACGTTTGCTACCCAATGACACGTTTAAAATTATTTTAATCTGCGAGTGTTGTTTTTACTCTGAGGTTACTATTTTCTAATACTAATACATACCTCTCAAATGCGCGTCAGCCCTGACCGCAGTTTCAGTGAGTTTCCATACAGATTTTTATTACCGAGTTCTTTGATTTTCTCAGGTCACTACATGACTTACGTGCGCGTCAGTCCTGATCGCAGTTTAGTGCGTATTCATACAGATTTTTATTACCGAGTTCTTTGATTTTCTCAGGTCACTACATGACTTACGTGCGCGTCAGCCCTGAGTTGTCATCAGCCTGTGTAGACCAACACGGCTGCGTGGGAGGAGATTACGCCCCCGCTGCCCCCACGGCAGACGCAGCGCCGCCTGCTAATGGCAGTCACGCCGGCATCAGCGCGGCCTCAGTGCCTGCTGACTCCAGCGAGTGTTTGTGGGGCGACTGTTGTGCTCTCAAGCTCGACCAAATTCTGCCTCAGTTCTCCGCCACGTCACTCACTAACGGTTACGCGTCTGGTCAGTCAAGTTCTCGCCTCAAGTCAGTGTTCTGATCTGAATGTCAAGTTTCATATAATGTCCTCAATTGTCCATTTAATACTATTCTTCAGTAGCAGAGAAAACTACTCGCTTCTGAGGTATTCAGTATTCAGAATATTTTAACAAATTTCGAGTGGTGAGGAATTAATGTTCATTGCATTGCCTATCTTACTTTGGGCGTTCTTGTTTTTGACGTATATTTTAAATTGGTATTTTTATCTTAAATGTAGTACATTGCTTCAAATTATGTTATTCTGGCAGGCCCAAGTTGCCTCATTTGGCATTAAGCAACCAAACCTTGACCGAAAGTCAATCTCTATTTAAATTACCCCGTTAAACAATCCCGTGTTATGGTTGTTGGCATAGTAAAGACTACAGGAGGTTGAGTCATACACTTAAAACTAGCTTCTTATAGCAATAAATACCCTATGGACGTTACATTTCCAGAATAGCTATGAGCGTTTTTGTAACTGAAAGTATTTTTGGTCACATGTCGAACTCTTAACCTGTTCTTGTTGGCAGACGTTGAAGCTAAAAGCAGTCAACACAAGTCTACCAATAAAGGCGCTTTTACTGAAGGAAGAAACAAGCAGCTGGGCAAGAGCAACAGTAAAGCCATCGCCAGCAACGCAGCATCTGCGTCAGGATTTTGGCTTGAATGTGATGACGAAAAAATTAAAATGGTCACTGCAGCTGAAGTGCTCGACAGAATGAAGGGCACTCTCATCACACCCTATCTTCTCTTTTACTCGAGAATATCCATCAATTCTTGCTAACCTCAGCAATTACATAGCTTGAGCTTCTAAGCGAATGCTAGGTGAATATGCAGTTTTTTCTTGTCCCAATGTGACATGTCTAATAGTGTTCCTTTTTCCACTGGTCTTCAGAGCGATTTTTCGATGACATTATCATCTGTACAGAGCAATCTTTAAGTTCTCATTGACAAGTTCACGATGCTGACTATTTCGAAATGATTTTATTTGCACATATTTGAAGAAATTATTTTTTAGCGTTAAAAAATTGGAAGCAAGTGCAGACTTGTGCACAGTAACTTAGAGTAGGTATAATGTGCTCTCCTATTTGGTATGAAACTAAAGAATTAAAAATTGACTAATATTTATTATGCTGACTGTAGGTATGATACTGAAGTGTGCTATCAAAAGCTTGAAGCCAATTTAGCTTCACAATAGGATGGATATCGAATGGAAGTTTTGTGGAATATCGTTGTGCTTTTGCTAAACAAAATTTTTTATGAGGTTCTAATGAAGATTACAAATTTGTTGTCAGAAAATTTGGTATTTTACATTTTAACTAAATCACGAGAATCATAGCAACCTCCTAAAAGACCTCTCTCGGAAACGTTTCATGTGACGATTTGTAGTGGGGCTATAGTAAGCAGATGTGATTAAAAATATTCTATTTGCGGCAGAAAAAAGTTATTTAAACATTATACTCAAGTTTGACACCTCAGAGAATTATGATCAAGTTAAGATTTATTGCTACATTCAACTGTAGTCCTGCTGAAGTCCTTGAATCTTGTCTGAAATTCCTCGTGTTTTGTCCTCGAAAATGAACCTCCGTTTTCGAATGTTTTAATATGTAGCTCATGTTCATCTGGATAGAGGGCATGCTAAATAAAAAGGAGTTTTTTTTTCATGCTCGCTGCTCAGCACAAAACTCCTATTTTCTATGGTGGGAGAAAGTTACTAACTTCAACTTCCTGTCAGGCATGAAAACGTTTGTGTTTTTGTCTTACTTTCTTTTCTTCCATTGTAATCACTGTAAGGACATTTCTGCCTGTTGCCGTTATATTAATTTTTTTAAGTAGGCGAATAAATCACGTGCTTGTTCTGTCTTTAATGGCAGCCGGTAAATAATCTTTTTTTTTCTTCAAGTGAATCTATCTTCACAATCTTCTCCGACTTATTTGATCGCTTTGACAATCGTTCGGTAGTGTGAAAAATGTCCATATTGCTTTTAAATTTTCTCAAATATTTAATGTGTATCAATGTGATTGATCTTATGAACATAGTTTTTATTGAAAAGCTGTCTCCTCTAATTCTGATTGGTCATCTTCATTACATTCAGCTTATTTATACCGTGTGTTGCTCTTCATTATTCTTCACCTGCCCTATAATTCGATACATCCGCGCTGTTTTAGAATCATAGATAAGTCATCAATGCCGAGATCTTCATACATGGGATAGTTTGTCCTGATTGATTTGACTTCATTTTGAAGGGGCCTCGTCAAATTAGTCAGTTGCACTACAAAGAAGCTGATCAATTGTTCTGTCTCCCGTGGAGGAATTAGTTAAATTGTCATCGGCATGGACGAGGTTTCGTAGGCGCCACAATCAAAGGGAACACACAAATAAAACATTCTTGTATTGTACAAATATATATATTTCTGCCGTTTAAATTTATGGACAAATTTTTGGTTGTAATTTGCAAGTAAATTGAGTGCGGTAATTTTCATAATATTCTACTCTTTCATATCTCTTCTTAACGAAGAATGTGTAAGACTGCTGGCAAGAAATACTTCGATCGCAATTAACCACGCATATAATCAATGCTTTCTGATTACCTGCCAGTGCCCCAACGAAAACAAAAATTATTCACGCTGACGAACTTGAATTAGTAATAGAGGAATATATATATAGCAAGAGGAAACTTATGATCTGATGCTACTCGTTTTAAAAGCGTTTCTCTGATAACTTAGCTGCACGAGAACTAGAAACGGGCATCAGTTCCTGAAGATTGTTAATTTTAGGATAATTTTCAATCATCAGTCGGCATGTTTGCGAGAAGTTGAAGATGTCTTATTTAGGTCCTAATACAGGATGGACTAATGTAGGCTAGAACACAACTTGACAAGTAGGACTGTACGGCAAGATAAGCATTATATTCCGTGTTCTAAATCTACTTCAGAGGCTAAACAACATTAGGTACAAGCAGACGAGAGGTGATTTTAGCTGTTATAAGCGTGACTTTAACTATGAGCTACGTACTGCGTTACTGTATATTTAAAGGGTAATATTGCGCATGTAGTTGAAGCGTAATTTAGACTTGGCAGAAGAAACCATCAGTGTATGCTGGGCCGCAAAGAGCAGATGATTTCTGCAGGTCAAAAATGTCGAACCTCCCACGCGACAAGAAACTTAGCATCCAAACCTAAACGCTTCTGAATATTTTTGATTAGAATAAATGTTATTCCACATGAAAAAAACTCATCTTATACTACCCAACATGCTCAATTCATATCAAATCCAATAATAACGCTAATAATGTATTTTTTTAACACGATAAATTGACCACACTTAACGAGATATATTATAAGAAATCATAATCTCCAAGTGACATTCAAATTAACACCTTAACAACATAAAATTCATCTAAGGAAACAATTGGAATGCAACTTTTCACGTTCCATTTTTTCTGGAGTACTGATGAAAAAATCTTCGGCACAGCGCACAATCATAACAAAGGATAACATTTTTCTCTCTCTTAACAAACTGCGCCGCTTAAAAATGTTTTGAGACAGCAGGATTAGTGATGAATAGTCACCCTAATGGAACTGTAATAATTGACATCCACCTACAAAAAAATAACTAAAATGACAGACAAGAGCCGATTATGATTTATCATTTATAACAGAGGTACTGGTAAAGTTATCTTGAGGAACTCTGTAATGCGGTCAACTGCAAGTTTTTGAAAATCTCAAAGCAGAAACTACATCTGCGGACCCTTCAATTCATCTCTTATATTTCATAATTATAAATCATTACAAATCTTCATGGACCGATTTTGTCGGAATTATCTTTAAGTAAGCATCATATATATTATTATCTCGTGCGAATGCAAATTGGAAGTAGTGCACCAGACAACGTGTGTTCCATTCACACTGTGTGACACAAGGCAGTTCGGCAACAGGCACCTTCGGCTGGCTACCAAGAACTCGTCAATACAGTCAAAATAATCAACAAAAATAGAAAGGTAAGCATTGAATTCACGTACCTAATAAGAGTGCTATAGAATAGAAGTGTCGGCGCTGAAGAAATAGGCCCAAGGCCTGTTGCCGATTCTTGAATTTTTCGTGACTTGATTCACAAGGGATCCGGCCTTTGGAACCCGATCTTTCCATAACTGACTATTGATTGAGATAGCTGCTGGACTTATTGCCTGGTCCGTAATTTGCTAACGTGAAATATAACTTTGTTGAAACAAACCAGATGACTTAACGAGTCAAAGAATTTGATGAACTCAAAGAGACAAGTGCACACGTTTTACGTACTCGTACCTTGCTGTAGAAAAAATTATTCCGTATGTTACGAGATTCTTTACATGTATTAAGAGATATTGGATAATCTTTCACTTGTTACGAACACGTAAAGAACGAACGCATCGGGCGACCCTGCTGGAGGCACCAGCGAATAGTGTTAAATGGCTACGGCGTTATTCTTTCTAGAGGAAATCTAAAAAGCGGGTCTCATTATATGTAATCCCGTTGACATTGTATGGGCTGAAACAATACATTACCTTGGACATCATTGGGAAATTTTGAATTAGCCGCTCATTTAGCAATTGCCTAAGTTTCAGAAAGCTTTTATGTTGGAACTTAATAGGGAATCCAAACGAACATATTCACTGAGCGAATTTAGATACTACTATATAATTCTACGGATCTTTGATACCATGCCTAACATCCCGGAATGTGGACTGATCCAATTAAATTCAGTGCGATGGAGATTAGTATCATGGAAGCATGTCGAGTTCAATTGCAGTCACTGCTCAAGACAAACATGATGTTCCACTGAAGAAGAAGGCACTCGTTATCTTGCAGGAACTTTTGATGGCCAACAGAGGAATTACTTGAGGAACTTGATGGACATTTTCTGCTCGACATCGGTGCGCTCGAGGATCGTACAGAACTCCTGGAAGGTGATCATTTGGTTGTTGTCCACGTCCGCCTCGAGCATCGTGCGCTCCGCGATGCTGATCAGCTGATCCTCGCTGCCAAGAAATAAGCGTTAGTCTTGCACATGTGCTTCAGGGATATGATGGACATTTTGCTAGAAGAAAAAACATTCATACTTGTAAATCGAGAAATCAATCAAATTTCCTTGATGTTTTACTCCTGTTACCTCAATCCACCATCATGTGCAACACCAACCTGATGTTCTCCCCCACCATCATGTGCAACACCCACCTGATGTTCTCCCCCACCATCATGTGCAACACCCACCTGATGTTCTCCCCCACCATCATGTGCAACACCCACCTGATGTTCTCCCCCACCATCATGTGCAACACCCACCTGATGTTCTCCCCCACCATCATGTGCAACACCCACCTGATGTTCTCCCCCACCATCATGTGCAACACGGCCAAAACTTCGTCACGTGTGATGCTGCCGTCGTCGTCCAAGTCGTACATCTTGAAGGCAACTGCATAAAACAATAATTTGTATTAAAATTAATTGTGAAGAACCGATTTTTCTATTTTAGTATCTACCAATCACATTTACTATTCCTACGACGTCTAGCATTCACGAATAGATAACAAGATATGATACGGACGAATTTCAATTGAGAATGAAAAAGGAATTCTTTGTCATTTTAATGACGAGAAAAATCTATGATACAACTTCGTCTGCATGGGATTTTCAAGAGAGTCAGTTGGAGTAAGAATGCTCGTGGACTCAGCATACTGTGACACTTTTCATTTTAACTGCTCAATTTATGCATTTAATTATTTATAAATTGTCAAACATTATCATAAATTTTTACATGATTCTTGAAAAGAAGTACCTAATAAAATCTTTAAAAATATTAGATTATGCAGTAAAAAATTTTCAACTGAATAATTCGAACGTGACGCAAGGCTAGGCTTGTTAAAAAGCTGTCAGATGAAGCCAGCGCGTTCAGCATTGAGATTCAAAACATTTAGCTTGAAAGTGCAAATTCAAGGCAAGAAAATGAGTTTGGCATTTATTTTTGCAGGTCACGACAGCAGCGAATTACAAACCAGATCACGTCGTTCGTTGCGACGTTAAGAGTTCATATATTCACAGGCATGACATGTCTCAATTTGCAAGAGGTGCGAGACTCGCTCTCACATTCTGCTCGCTCGATATTAAGACATGCCGGTAAGGTCAGAGCCACGAGTTATTTAATCCAATCCACGAAAAAGGTTATACATGAACGACGTGAAGAAAATATAAAAGATGTAAAAATAGAAGAAAGACGTAAAAAGGGACACGAGACGAGAAAATTGGCCACAGATGTAAAAAAAAAGCAAGACAAGTTTTAAAAAATGTCAATAAAAAGCAAGATGGACGTCAAACGCGAAATTACGCACGACACGAAAATGAAGGCGAGACGTAAAAAGAAACGAGAAATGTGTAGTAAAGAACATAGCTAAAATTGCAGAGAGATTCATCCGAACCACCAATAAATGTGACAACATATTAGCTTATCCATCATGTTTGTTTTAAGCTCAAGTTAGTTAAGTTAAGATGATAAATTACCTATCTTCCAAGCCTCAGTTATCGACGTCTGCGTGGGGACCTCATTGAAGTATACAAGTATACTNCTCCCTGATAGCATCGTTGACGCTCCGAGTATGAACGCCTTCAAGAACAGGCTAGATAAAGTCAGTTAAAGTAAAGTAACAGATATCGTAAGTTTGGAAAAAATCCGGTAAAATTACCAGTTTTTAGGTCCCCTGTAAATATGACGAGAAAAGTAGGTACAAGAATGAGCAGCAGGCCCAGGGCCAATTTTTCCAACGCCGACAACACCATGATATGTTACTATGTTATGTTAATATGGTTCATAAGAAATGTAATTTTACTACTCTTAGGCGCAATTAGGCTGGTATGTGGGAAGCACCAAGAAATCTTGAATAAGATTTTTTCAAGAAGTCAAGAGTTATAATAAAGGATAAATCTGAGCAATTCAAGCACCTCAATAATGCAGAGGGTACTAAGACTTCGTATTGTCAACAAGGTAACACGTCATCGGTCGAGATTTTATTTACTACTAAAAACTCTGCTCCAGAATATCACGAGTAACATGAATATCATAATTAATTCACAAAATAATAGGGCGAATCATGGGTAAAATAAACAGAAGGTACGTAATTGTTTTATCCCCCTTGATATTTCCAATAAACTTCTTCTTAAAGAAACTATTCTAGTTAACCCAACTAAACTTAAGTTTATCGCATTTAATATCAATAAATACAAATTTTATGGATAATACCTACTCTTGAAGTTACCCCGAAAAATCATGTTAATTGGGGCGAGTATTAAGATAAAGTCTTAACTGCGTAGCGACAATAACTGTCTGGAGTAGAGGCACCTCCTGCCTCATAAAACACAAGTAGCTTTATAGAATTAACGTTAGTTTAGATATAACTCATTAAATGATCAGTTATAAGACCACATGTAAGACAGTTACGGACAAAGCAAGAATCGACGACAGACCTAACTTGGGCTAGTCTTCAAGGCCGTACCCACGCAGGGAAATAAGAAAGAGTTTATACAAATAGCGAGGCATATTTTCCGCATGTCTGCGTCATCCTGACCGAGTTAAACATTGAAAAATGTCGTATCCTAGCTATATCTGCTCACTGCTTGTGCTGTGGGTATGATAATGTACCAGTATTTGGACAATGCCCCAGTCATTTGCCCGAGTATTATATGTACTCACATCGCAGCTTCTCCTCGCGGCTGTTGAGTTTGTTCTCCTGGTTGCGCTTGATGGGGCGGAAGTGAGCCAACACGCGCACGAACTGCTTGAAGTTCACCCAGCAATCAGAGGTGTGGGGTGCTCGTCTTGCAGAAGTTGCTATTAAATTCTTGAAGATTACCTAAACATGATAAATTAATTAATAAAGAATATGAGGGACGATAATACACAGTCTAATCAGCAATAACAGGAAAGTTGCTCCTGCGACAGCGACTCGACTGCTCGATACCCGGAAAATAAATAAAGGTGAAGACCGGTTCATTGATGAAGACGAAAACCGGTTCATTGACGTAGGTACCGGTACGTTTTCAACACGGCCGGTCTGAGTAAGAAATTTAAAACATTAACAAATTGCATTCATTACAATAAGTAATCATACAATGAAGGTAATAGAAATATCATAGTATCTTAGAGAATGGTAGAATCATCATGCAGTAAAATAAAGCTACTGTATAATAACGATTTTTGACTACATTTGAGTTATTACGATTGGAACATTTTACGTTTCTCCAAGTTTAAAATTACGATTATTTTATTTGCGATTTTTATCTATTGATTTGACCTGTACCTAGTCATAGTATAACACATATAAGCGATTATCATCGACGAAGTAAATATCATGTAATGGGCGGTAGGAGGCATTAGCATGCTTTTTGCAGTCGATCAATGAAGACATCGGCAGTCNCCGCTCCCGCTACTGAAAAAGTAGCGGCCGCTACATGTAGCGCGCTACTGCCCACCTCTGGTTAAGAGGCCGCGGACAATATCAACTTCCTTAGATATGCGCTGCACACCGAGCTCCTGGGGCTTCGTATCAGACGCACCACAAATAATACATCAATTACTAGGAAGAGACGTGCAGTGAACCAGTCGATGTCGTGTATCTGAACGCGTAGTGTAACGTATCAACAGCACTTGAGGCATCTCTATACACGCCGAACTGAGACTCCGTATCACATGTAACATGCAAATTATTAACAGCATAGAGAAAGTTATTTAGTCTTCACACAGAGTACATGCATGCTCATAGTTTTATGCCGGTCGTATCCATATTTCATGTATGAACGGCACTCGGTAAGGGAGCTTTATATTCAAGCCTAGCCTTATAAAGACAAAAATATTCGATTTTTCATCATTGTAATCTCCACTATTTCACTTTCCTAATGTTGCAAAATTTTTACAGCATATTAGAAATAATTAAAATGCTTATTGCGGCCTATGTGTTGCAAATATTGCCAAAAAACATTAAGTAACGAGGTAAAAAAGTTGAAGAGCATCCTTGTGAAGAGAACTGAAGCCTTGGAATATACGGAGGTGAGGAGGTTCCGTTGCGCCAAGGCCGTGTGACGACAGCACCTCGTGTACAAATGTTGCGCTCGCCAGCACTCCTTCGTTCACGTTAATTACATCAGCAAGTGAATTGAGTTGCTGATCCTTCCGATTACTGGAACTTCGACGCACGCAATAAGCGCTACAAAGAAGTGCACTCGTATTAAACATATTTTGTTGAATACCAAAGAGTATTTTTAGATGTAAACAGTTTTATAACAGTATTTCTCAGTTTGGCAAATTAATTAACGAATGAGTTGATTTCTGAATTTTAACAATTACACCAAATTTTTCCACATCAAGTACTATGTTAAAATTTCAAGTGCTGCGCTTCAAACCTTCGTTTTAACTGAGCAGGAATAATGTCCATTCGCATCGTCGTAATGTTACCATAAAATTTCCCACGTAAACCTCAGGTTCAAACTTTTAAATCCAGCGTTAAGTCTAATACCTACGCCGAATTAAGAAGCACAAGAGGAAAGTCGTTTTAATGAGAAATATTCGCTGGTCTTCAAAGAAACCTGCATTAAAAACACACTTCAGCCTATTATTAATAGTATTCGATATTGGAGCAAATACAAAGAAATAGAAAGTCATCTAGTCAAGCTGAGACGGTCTTCCTTTTGATGTGGACAGAAATGCGTATATAGGCAGTCGTCATGCAGAAAATATATGAGTCGCCACCTTGTTCTTCAGAACATGTCGAATGTATTAGAAAGTTAACATGAATGTACAGCAGAGATATGGACAAACAGCTTTCTTCTATTGCAATGCAATAGACACAGTATAGCAACACTTCACACTGCAGGCAAGCATGCAAGGCATGCTCACACATACAGATCACCAGGGAGTAACTGACATTATTAAATGAACGCGCTGCTTCAGAAGTAAAAACTGTTAGCAATGTATACACTATCCGGCATTGCCACATTAAACGGTATTGATTTTCTTGTATAGTAGATTCCATTCATCTGTTTTTTATACAATGAAATAACTATTATCCTAGAAACAATTACTGCTATGAGATTTTCGAGGCTAATTGGAAAGCATAGGTACTTTCAAATCTTGACTTCCGAGACGTTATACAAATGACAGAAACTGAAACACAGTTCCTTTACACTAACATTTAACATTCCATGAAAATTAGGGATACTTCAGTTAAAACACACGTTAGATTAATAATTAATTCATATCGATGTGTATTTGGCACGATGGATGATATCATTCTCGTCTTTCTTGGCAATGTTTAAAAATTTTTTAGCTCGCAAGAGAATGTGATAAACATACAAATGTGACAGAGGTGGTAAGATCGTTAGGCAATGCCTGGTGATACAGAGGCAGTCTTGTGAAAGGCAGCTGTACACCAGAATAAATGATGGTGCCTGCAACATTCTGGCAGAAAGCTTATTACTTTACAGAAACATCAGTATTTTTATACACAGTAGACTTTAGTTCCACTTACATTTGTTACATCTCGATAGGATTTTACACGCAAAGAATTTAATACTTACATGGCTTATCCTCTTAAAAATAATGCAACTTGAGCTGTTGACAACACTCAACTACTCATATCATCAAATAAGTAATGAATAATTCAGAATTTACCTGGAAGAAGGCGTGAACAATCCGGTCCCCCAGAGGATTGATGGCTAATTCTGGAATTCGGAGGAAATCCTCCCTAGAGAGGCTACCAGAATTGCCTTTATCGAGACTAGTGAAGCGACTGTAGAGACGCTCAATTTGGCTCGCAGAAACTGCAACAAAACAATAACAATATATTATACAAAATATCTTGATAATCAAATAGCCAAGTAATGTAATGATATTTTCCTAGTATAAGAAAGTATATAAATTAGCACTTCTTGTTTGAAACGATGCAACCATTGTTTATAAGACGTGACCACATATAGCGGCGTAGCCGTCTTCTGCTGGTCGCACCTTCGTCTTCATAATTGTTGCCAGAGTCGGCCTATAACCCGGTCACGGTTTCCATCCGACGTCCTGTCATCCGACGATGGATGACAGGATACCTGGACCTACTGACACTAAATTGTTCCATCAGGTACAGGTTATGAACACACAAGTAATTTATAAATAACAGTATAGAAATAAAGTTTTGTTACTTGTTTATAAAGCCAAGTTATAAGCTTGATTTCATATGGATGAATTTAGGACATGCACAAGATGAGGGCAAACAATTCAGTGTAAGTTCTACAAAGACTTGGTAGCATTGCTCAAGCTAAGCTGCTAGTGAGTGGTACCTTGCAACGATTGTACAGAATTGATAGGCACAAAACACACGTAAATTATACCATAATACTGCAATTTGCTTGTATTATTAGGGATAAATAATGAAGCCAATATTGGGTGTGCATGTGAAAATGTTAGAATTTGGTCTGTCTCTCTAACAAAGGATATTTTGTGTTATCATGCGGTGGCTTCCTCAAGGCTTTCTTCTTCCTATTATAGATCAAAAGTTTGATTTGGTCATTTCCTGTAGTGCTATGAAATTACTTTGACTAATTGACAGCAGGACTCCATCTTTGTTAGTCCATGCTGTTCTTCTGGATCCACAAGTGACTCAAAACCAAACTTTAAACCTACAGACAAATTCTGGTAAACAAAGGGTATGAATACAAGTGAAATGGTCTACACTAGAATTTCAAACTTTTGATCAGGCCAAAAGCAAGATAACAACAATAAGCGCCAATCAGGAATATCACAAATATCTACTACCAAAAAATGATAAAGTGTTTACAAGGTAAATGGAAGAGCATTGCAGGCAATGATGAAAAAGTACTACCAAATCAATCATTTGATCAATTAAAAAAAAATAATAAATCAAAAACCTTGTTCTAAAAAATAATAATGATATCTGCCAGAAACAAATGTGGTTTCTAAATTTTATTGCAATAAAGATTATGGAGGCATTGAAAAAATTTTTATTTGGAACAATCAACATAAGCACCCAACACACTTGCCCTCTGCTATCTATAAAGCCAAACAGGTTTGGAATCTTCCTACTTATTAATGAAAACTTGTGACTCTTAAGTAAAAATTTTTGAATAAATTTGGAATTTCCTGGCCTGATCTTGCACTTTAGTTACTAGCAGTAAGATTGAGGTCATTCATCTGAGGGAATCTTGTGGCTCCAAAAATGGCAGAAAAGCTCCAGTTGCGTCTTGAAAGGTACTAGATACAAGTCAAATTATAATTTTAAGAGCCATGAGACCTTCTCCAAAAGAATTATCTCATCATTTCATCACACAATTGATTGGCAATAGCTAAATATTTTGACTAAGCCATGTTTGCCAGTAGCTAAATCTTAACCACTGTTCCACTTGGCCACTTACCAATATTGCCCTTAATTTCAATAATTTTTCAAGGGACTCAAATTTCTAACTTGCCGTTACAATCTTGGTAATGTTAACTATTTGGATTCCATTAAATGGGGTAATACAGGACAGGCAGGGTAATAAGGGAAAGTCCTCTGACATTTGGTATAAATGTTGCAGCAGCTAAACCAATCAAAATATTGCAAACTAAAAATAGTGGTGTAAAGTTCAACATTTTTCCTATCTATGTAGCATAAAGCAAGTTAAGAATAATACATTTACTGCCTCTAAATCACCGGAAAAAGTGTGTAAAGCGAGATTTTGGAAAAGTACCTCTGCTATGGTCTGTGGCAAAAAAATATTTGCTGTATTGAAAATATTTATTTGCCTTGCATAAAAGTTGCTGGTGTTGGCTAAAAAACGTGATTGACGGAATTTGCGTATCATTAAAAAAAATTGCAGCCATTTCCACATGACAGGGTAATAAGGAACACCACACGGTGTAATAAGGGACACCCTTAAAATGCATTTACAGTAGAACTTCAGTTAGCAGAGGCTCCAGTTAACTAAAAAATCAATTACCAACAAAAATATTTCATTACATTTACCTCGCTCAGCCAAAAAAATTTTATTCAACAAAAATTAATGCACCATTGCTCATCACAAAATTGTGCATAGAGTGTCATAGAAGTAATTATGCACCAGGCAACATAGAATGAGAAGAAATTAACCTTAACAATGATTTATCTCTCCAAAATATATGATGGTTGTCATTTAAATATTCCTTTCTGTTTCAGGTATGTTTTAACAATTTTTTTTTTTTTGTTATACTGAATTCACTTGACCCAATTAAAACGGTGTGAAATTACAAACCATACTGTAAGCTTACAGATACAGAAGAAATGCTGCATGGCTGCTGATATGAAGCTTGCAGAGGACAAGGTCGTTGTAAATGCACAATGGCATGTCCACAGCTACGGTAATATCACATCAATAATATGATAATGAATGGATATGGTAATATCATATAAATGAAGGAAAAAACAACTAATGTCATTTATTCTACATCTACATCATCTACAAAGGACGAGGAGGGCTTCAGAGTACTGTTAGTAATGGATGAGTACACTTTGCATGCTTCAAACATTTTGAAATTGATTTTTATTTCATGTGTCTCAGATTACCCCATTCCCAGGCATCATTTGGGACACTTTTATTTAGCGTCTGGCACCTTATGATGTTGCATTGCAAGAGTTTCACTATTGAGTCTAAGTTTTACAGCACTCTGCCTTCCCTCAGAACCATCTGCCTAGCTCTACTCCTGCTTACTTGTGTGCAGCATGCGGCATCTCATTTAGTGGTGATGAGCTCCTGCCTAAGCACGAGACGAGATGTGTAGCTAATTCATTGCCTAGGAAGTCTGTTCATTCATTGTCCATATCAAGTCTTTGTTTCATTGTGTCTTGTGTTAGTGATTATTTGATCTTGACAAACCTGGTATGCCCATTGTGATATGGAATAGTAGTTTTTTGGACTTGTCTTTGTTTTACTTAGTGTCAGCCATCGTCCTGTAACCAAATCTCCATTTTCTTTCTATCCAGACTTGAGAAACTTTGATGATGATTCAATGTAACAGTTCATTTTTACCAAACAAAACTTACAAAATAACCTTGAATTATTGATTGCTAATTTCTTGCATTAGGTAAATGTTTATGATTCAAATTAATCATAGAAGTTGTATCTCCAAAATTCCATGTTGAATTAATTACCCATAGAAGGTTCACATACAGATGCCAGCACCAGCAGCGGCAATCAAATGAACTACCTACTTTATTGTTTAGTATGTTGACTAATAATATAATAATATCATATTCTGTTTAGGTCCGGTCTCTTAAAGTGTTCCAGCAACATATTTTCCATTACTAATTATTTAAATGTATTAACATGTAGTGCAGTAAGATATTGAATTGTTTGAATTCTAAACAAAGATGGCGCGCCCACATTCAGATACCAGCGCCAGCAGTGGCAATCAAAGGAACTACTTTATTGTTTAGTATGTTTACTACTATAATAATAATAATAGGGTATTCTGTTTAGGGGGTGGATAGCTAGAGGTCAGCATAGCCCAAGTTCACAGTGCTATTCATATACCTTCCCAAGCGTAACGCAGCCTGGCATCTTCACGGCTTTCGACACAATGTGCCCACCACAACAGCGCAGTTCAGTCACAGGCTGGAGCGCATACAGGCCGGGGCCCAACTGGCCGGAGTGCAGCAGGCCCCACCGCAACAGCTACTCTTAACGTAACTTAACCTAACCTAACCTGCGCCGCCTGTTGTGGAAGGGCCTGTTGCGCTCCAGCGCTGTGGCTGTGTTGTGCAAAGCAAATTTACTGTTAGCCGGAGTTACCCACAGCTCATTGATCTGAGGCTATGAGTAGATATTGCATGCTGATGGTTGGTGTTGGGCCCAGGGCCTGTTTACGAGTCAATTTTGTTACCCATGACTGCGCTCCCCTGTTTAGGCACAGTCTCTCAAAATGTTCCAGCAACATATTTTCAATTACTAATTATTTACATTTATTTATTTGTGGTGCAGTGAAATATTGCATTGTTTGATGTCACAGTCAATGTACCACATGTTTTTATTGTTCTTGTGTTGTTGTGTGACGTCACTATGGGCCTGCCCAGCCAGCCATATGTAAACAAAGCCACAGCAGTGAAGATGGAAGCGCTTTTGCATTGCAATTGATGGTTATTTGTGAATAACATTTTTGATTGTGATATTGTAACATATTTCCGATTGTGAAATAAATTTGATTGTGATATTGATACTTGACAGTAGTGTCAAAATTTGAACTGCAAAGTTCTAACATCACGAGTTACGAGGTAAAAGACTAAAAGTGAAGGGACTGAGCAGAGCTGAAACATTGGCTGAGGCTTAACTGATGTCATTGTCATTTTTTACGTCATTGATATCATTCTGGAACCAACATAAGTAACTAAGGAATTTCCCAGTTCAAATATTTATTGATTTATTTATATCAATTTCAAAACTCCACATATTTCTAGAGGGAGTTGTGATGAGACCATGGGGTTAAACTGTCGAGTTTAGACCATTGCAACTTGCAAGAGGGGCCCAAGGGCCAAGGGCATGGGGCCTTGCAAAGGGTTAAAACCGCGGCACGGCAGTGAACCGCCATAAGTACCTCTCTTCATAGAATTCCCCTATGGTCTGACCACTCTGACATGACTGCATTACACTGCATTGACTGCAACTATGCAATCTTCATGGAGGAAACGTTTTGAGTTGACTTGTTAAGGCTATATTACTTTCTGCATGTTATTTTGGCAGGAGGTGGGAGCATTGAAGTACATATATATATTGCCCAAGTTGAAAATTTTGTGAAACAACACGTTTGCTAAGAGCAAACAGCAATTTTTTCAATCAAACAAAAATTTATGACATTAGAGTTGCAAGATTTCATATTTACTAAAATTATATGATAATATAGCCACATTATTTCAGAAAAAATTGGACTTTTCCAGCCCTGGGTTAAATTGTAATGACAACTCACAAGTTGGCAGTTGCAGGAAGTTTTGGTTCATTTCTGATGTAAATAAATGTAAATTTTACATAAGAGGGTCTTATGTAAATTTAACAAAAGACCAATCCAGTGCAATAACATTTGGACTGGAGAGTTCTTACTCAAGATTTTTCAAAGTTAATTTTAATTTTTATGTTCAACATTTCAAAATAGGTAAGGTACATGATACACTATGTCACTATTGCCATCAGTTGTACACTTGAAGTTGTTTGTACTTTCTACTTTGTAGGTAGGCCTAGCCTACTTGTATCAGACTAATCAGAGTGCAGAAATTTGAAGAAACATTGAAGAATCATGCATTGGTGAATGAAGCTAAATCATGTAAATCAAGTAATCAGTCGACATATAAGTGATATAACTGATCTATGAGACTTAACTACCAAAGAAATAAATTTAGCTTTCAAGGACATATTCGTCATTCAAAATCGCAAGAACAGCACATTGTATCAGCTTAAATAGCTAGAAAATTAAAGATTGGAATACGATAAGATCTGGCTTGTTGTGAACTTACATCCAGTGTCTGCTTGTATAGATTTTATATCTGAATCTTGAAGCATCAAGCTGTGTTTATTTCCCATATTGAACGAAGTTTTGTGCAGATAACCAACCTCCGCGACAGATCGTAAATGACTAACTTGTTCTGCAGTGAGCAGTCTGCAAGTGCACTCTGCAGGGCAGGGTTGCCACTTGCCCGATGGAGCCAAGAAAAAAAGCCAGTTTAGCTCACAAAAAGGCCAAAAACTGCCCCATTTACAATCAATATGAAAGTTTTAAATACACGGTAGTTAAAATCATTACAGCGTGCATAAACAACGAAATTTGCATCGACTACACTAAGTTTACGATCTTTATTACCGTAATTGCCATATAACAGACATAAGCCGGCAGCAGGCAGGTAATTATTAATTACACGCCGACCGTAAATAAAAACCGTATAATGCTAGATTGAAGTCATAACTCAGAGCTACGATTTTTATAATTTGATTGTCACCTAACAACTATGAAGCTTTTCCATCTCGCTAGAAAGTTGTGTCATTGACGGTAGAATGTTTGTAGGTAGTAGATAAAAATTGATTTTTTGCAAACCCATTTATGTGATAGAGTATGCAGACACTGTACGACTAAAGTGTATATTATAAGTTAATGTTATAGATTCATTAAAACTTTTAAATGCCCAGAAAATAGTATATTACCTAACATCACTGGGAGCGGACTGCTTTACCAGAAATCGAACCAAGTAGGTAATTGAAGTTATTGAACCGAGCCCAGCAGCTATCTCAAACAATCGTCAGTGATGGACGGATCGGGTTCAAAAGGCTGATCCTTTGTAAATCAAGTAACGAAAAGTACGAGAATCAGCAACAGGCCATGGCCTATTTCTTCAGTACCAATACTTATATTCTAATCCTTCCTAGTGTAGAGCAATTTGCTGAACAAATTGTCATAATAACATGTCATGATGACTGACTGAAATACTAGTCTGCATTATTCAAGTCATATTAGCAATTAACCAAATTTCAAGCAGCGTGGGAAGGATTATACCAATTCAAAGTGTAATTTCATGGTGCCTTATACCCAGAGGTGGGCAGTATCGCGCTACATGTAGCGGTAGCGGCGGCCCAGTGTTGCCAGATGGGCCTTTTTCAGGCCAAATTTCGCAAATGTGGCTTTTTTCATATGCATTGGCCTGATTAAAATCCGCGTGGCCTTTTTGTCCATTTGTGGCATTTTTTATGAAAAATGTAATTCTCGGCTTTTTTTGGTAATAATTTTGTCTTTCAATTTTATCCAAGACAAGTACACCCGAATTTAGTTTTGCCCAAAGACGAGTACACTCAAATTTTGACACTTAACTGTGTCAACACTTCGGTTTACGGGTTTAGGTGGCAACACTTTGGATGCACCATAAGACTATATCCAGTTGCCGACTCGTATTAATTAATAACATGGATGGCAGAGCTGAGAGCGCGGATAATCGAGTAAACCTAGTTTTCACTTCTAAAGAGTAGTAAATTCAGCATTAATTTTTGAGGTTACAGCGCTATTTCTCCATGCATTCAGCCTTCTGGTGTGAGCCACTACCAAATTTCACGTTGAATAAATATAATTACTCTTCTCCGAATTATGATAGGCAATACTTTTTCTACGCATTCACAAGTTGTGATAAATTTATAGGATTGATTACTAATATATACCTTAGTCTTGCAAGGACCACTTCATCTTTATACCGCAGATATGAGTTTACATTTATTTTAATTTCCGCGTATACATATTCTACCATAAAGATAAGAAAACTTCGCCATATCACTAATGTTGCCGGCCACTTCACTATCTATTTTGTTAACAAACTGAGCCAAAACTTTCTAACGCGATCGAAAAGCTTTATAAATGTAAATTGGCAATCGAATCCTAAATATCAAAGTTCTGACCTGTGTTATACGGTTTTATTTACGTTCAACGAGTGACGTGCAATTCGCTGCAGTCTGGAACCTGGCAACGTATGTAGCATTGGCGGTAATTCAGCTAGTACACTTGGGTACGCAGCCGTGCACCACCAAATTTGTGCACCAATCAGCCTTGAAAGGAACGCCTAGCATATTTCCGGATGACCACCAATCAGCCGCGGATTAAGCCATCCGTCGGTAACCATCCCGTGACATCATCTTGCTTTAAATATTAGGAGCTCTACGCCACCACATTCTGAAGCGAATAGCCCAGAGAGTAGTGGTTATGCACCACTGAACGTTGCATCGAATTATCACTTCATACCCTGACGTTAGCTCGAACTGTAACTTGCGGACAACGGACTGCGACCAACCAGCCCAGCTCGCCAGTGGAACTGCATGCATCCTGCCGTGCACCACCAGACCGTCACTTTAGCTCACAACATTGGGGTTAGGTTTCAGAAATCATAGTTCTGTTCCAAAATCTATCGTCCTTCGCCAAGCGACTTCCACAGCTTCGCTAAATTACGTAACTTTTAGCTCACAGCATCTGGGGTTAGGTTCCAGATAGCATAGTTCTGTTCCAAAATTTATCGTCGTACGACACGTGGCCGTTCGACCGTTTGCTGATTCGACACACGGGACAGATACGGACGGCTCCGGCGCGCTCCGTCCGGGTGGTGTAAAATTTTTTCGCGTGTCGGCAGACGACGTTGGGCCATACGACGCCAGGCTTATTTTCCTGTGGGCTAATTGATCTAATTCAATGGATGTGATCTGTCATCATTGAATATCTCACCATTCGTGAGGTCGAATGTTTATATGCCGGCGATTACTTGCGCTTGAATAATTCTTGAACCACATGAAACAGTTATTGAACGGAGGTAGCTTTAGTGTATTATATATGTTACACTTGGTGAAATTGGTGAATTTTTTGCTGTCTTAAAGCCTTGAGAGTAAATGCATGCAGTGCAAATGGTTAAAACTACCTTAAATTTATGAATTTCTTATTAATTTCAAATGGGGCTTTGTCGCCTTTTTTGTGAGCTAAATTGGCCTTTTTCACTCAGTTCCATCTGGCAACCCTGAATTTTATTCTGCGGCGCTACATTTAAGGCAATGTAGAGGTAGCGGTAGCGCCCGCTACATATTTAAGTAGCGATACGAGGTTTTGCCGCTACAGCGCTACCGCTACATTTATAGATAAAGCCTTTAGATTTGACTCAATATTATTAAATATTATTTAAAAACCAGCATGATACATACTACATAACATAAATTACAGAATAAAACTGTACGAAAGATTTCGGTGTAATGTTGTCAACCTCAGCCTGTTACTAGCTAGTGTCAACATGTTAGTTGTTACTTGTCAAGTTGTTACCAGTTACCACTTACAGGCATTTTTTCATGTGTCAGTTTTCTTACAGTTCTTTTTACACAGTTATTTTTATGTTTCACCTTCCCTACATGAATGTCTACTTTAATCTACCAATCTCAAAAATAATCCACATATATGTATATATACAAATAAAAGACTTATTTTTTATACAGTATGTATACAGTATGTGGATAATTTTTGAGATTGGTGGATTAAAGTAGATATCCATGTAGGGAAGGTAAAACATAAAAATAACTGTGACTTTTATTTACTGTATCTAACCCGTACTAGTTCGGTTAGGTTAATTGCAATAAAGTTGCATTGATATGCTTTGAAAATGTTTTATTATCATTAAGGCGAGCGTCTAGGGACAATTTTATCTCGGTTATTTACAGACGGATCAATTCGAAATTTGGTACACGTATGTAAAACGGAATTATAAGACTTTTTTCGTGTGAATTTTTCGAAAAAAATGAAAGAAAACGTGAAATTCTTAGAAAACGGCCAAAAAGGGGGTACATTAAAAATCATATCTCCTCCTAGGATTTTCAAGCTACAACATCGAGACACATATCATTCGGTGCGTAAAGGCCATATCTAAAAACGTCACTTGGCGGTTTTTTGGATTTATAATTTTTGCGAGTGTGGGAGCATTTTTTCCGATATTTATAGAAATTTTTCGATTTTGTCCCCGCCCTTCCCCACTTTTTGCAAAATAAAATCAGAACTATAACGAAATTGGAAAAACGACCAAGTGAAGTTTGTAGATCTTTCCTTTCCAAGTCGAATGGTATATATGTCTTATTGTAAAGCTGTAGGAGGAGATAGGATTGCCGTGAGAGAGGTTTTCAGCTTTGGCAACTTTTTAGTAGAGGCAAAAAACCGCCGCACGGCACGTAACGTAGCCTAGATACCAAAAGTAAGCATCAACTCACTTCAAAGTCAGTCATCGGTGCATGGAGCCACTAAATGAACACCACCCCGCGTGCTATCTGTGAGGTTACTGAGCTCTAGCTGAGTCAGCCTGAGTGAAGAGCACATTTTAAAGTTAATTTCCCCTTTGGAATTATTGAAGGCCCCCACCCCCTTCCCCGTTTACGGGGTCTGTTGTGAACGCAAAAATCAACGTACAAAGATGGTTCTAGTACCGTTCGATGCGGCAGAAAGTAAGCTTTAGGATGAGTATAAGAACTGGAGAATGTCAGAATTGGCCGCTTTACGTCAGACGATCCCCTTTATGGTGCCCGGCCGGGTAATTTCCGCCTTAACTATACTGAAGGGGCCCGGACACCTCCTCCCCTTAAGGGATCTGTCGTGAACGCAAAAATCAACGTACGGAGATGGTTCTAGTACCGTTTGATGCGGTAGAAAGTAAGCTTTAAGATGAGTACAAGAACCGGAGAATGTCATAATTGGCCGCTTTATGTCAGACGATCCCCTTTATGGTGCCCGGCCGGGTAATATCCGCCTTAACTTTACTGAAGGGTTCCAGACACCTCCCCTCCCTTACGGGATCTGTTGCAAATGCATAAATCAACTTACAGAGATGGTTCTAGTACCGTTCGATGCGTCAGAAAGTAAGCTTTAAGATGAGCCTAAAACCGGAAAAGCCGAAAATTCGACCTTTGGACCTAGACGCTCCCTTTAAACCTTTATACAAAAATAGTGAAAACATTGCAGAAAAAAAACACAAGCAGAAATCGGGGACAGAAAAAATTCTACCACGCTTTTCCTGAAGGCTCTGGAGGAACATTGTGCTTTATTTCTGTTTCGTTAAAACGGCCTAAAATTCCGAAAAAGTTTCTAAAATTTTATATCCGTTTTTTCAACATTTCGTAACCATTTCTTAAAAATG